AATTCACTTGGTGTATTTCAGCTTCCGAGCAAACTCCCTTTTGTGTTGATGGTATTTATAATTCCATTTCAATATAAAAAAATAATAATAGCAGCGTACATGTACAATCATAATACCTTAAAATCCAGCACCCCTCCTCCAACTTAGTAAGTTTAAAAAATACACCTTTGTGACAATCATGATTTGGATGATTGAGAACCTCCATGGGCATTTAGATTAATATCTATTTATGCATAAGTGAAAAAAGATACAAGGCGAGAGCCTTCAGACAGGATGGATGCCCCATCACTGGAGGTTCTTAAGAAGAGATTGGACAGTCACTTGTCTGAAATGGTGTAGGATCGCCTGCTTGAGCGGTGGGGCTGGACTGGAAGACCTCCAAGGTCCCTTCCAGTTCTATTCTGATTCTAGCCTGGGGTTTTCGTTGCTTAGATGTCTGATTGAATCTCCGATTTGAATGCTCCTATCCTCTAAATGTACCAAGCTACTACTTACTACTAGATTACTCTCCCTTGCCTCTGAAAAGCTAATTGTCCATACCACAAAAGAGATGTCAAGATGTTCTTTCCTTCTAGAAATTTGCCTGCTGACTCGTGGTCGGCGAACCGCCAGCGTGAGAGCGGACACGTACTGCCGCCTCTATTCCCTTTCGGTGGACAATTTCAATGAAGTATTAGAGGAATATCCCATGATGAGGAGGGCCTTCGAAACGGTGGCACTGGATAGGTTGGACCGCATTGGTAGGTACACACACACACACACCTGGTATTCAGAAGATACTGGACTGAATCCTGGAGGGTCACTCCCGTTATTGATGGGTGTGGGTGTTGAAAGCCATCTAAGGTTGAGGATCCCATCTCCAAATGCTTCTCCGGCCTCCATTCTTCTAAACATCCTCAGCACAGATCAGGTTAGGAGAGCATTAATGGGGCATCTTGAAGCATGTGAGATACAGAGAGGGAGGTGGGTCCTGGGAAGAGGCCTGCCAGCAGCCATGTTCCAAGTTTGAACACACACCAGGGGCTGGTTGGTGAGAACCTCAAGTCAGAACAGTAAATTGCAACCATTTCTCTTTCTAATTTCTCAAAATGCACTTGACTAGCATCTTGTTGTGGCCCGCCAACAGAGCTGGCAGCAGATTCAGACAGTGAGGAGGTTGGAGAGGAACCTGGGCCAGTCCTGGAGTCTGGGGAAGGCTCTGAGAAGGGCTTTGCGTCAGAGGCAGAGAGGGGACAGGGCCTTATGCCAGTTATCAGCTGCCTTCGGAGTCAGACATCAGTGAGGCAGAGGAACAGCTGGAGCCTGTTCCCAGTGTGTGCATGCACAGAGTGGCCAGATGAAGGGAACAGCTAAAGAACAGGGGTCGACTTGGGAGTAAGGCCACAGGTGGACGATGAATGACCCCTCCCAGAGGGAATAAAAGAGGAGCAAAAGGGGGGTGGAGTTTGCAGGAGACAATTAGTTCCCTTCATTGGTTCTTGAATCTCCAAGACTCCTTGCCAAGTTTTGCAGATATCGGCCTGGCAGCTCTCCAAGTCAGAGAAGGTCTGTGACTGTAAATCCTCCCTTGAAAGACTTTG